GTCTTCTATGACATTTTGGTGTGTATATATGCATCAACATGTGTATGTGTGTATTTTGGTTGTGGTAAAACACGCACAATATAAACGTTACAGTTTTAACCACCTTTAAGTGTGCTTTTCTATGGCACTATGTCAACATTGTTCTGTAGCCATCACCACAGTCAATCTCTAGAACATTTTCATTTACCAAACTGAAGTCTATAGCCATTAAATAATAATTCTCCCTTCCTCCCTCCTCCCAGCCCCTTGCAACCAAATTCTAATTTCCACCTTTATGAATTGAACTACTCTAGGTGCCACATCACGTTAGTAGAATCGTATGGTGTTTGTCTTTTGTGACTACTTTATTCACTTTGCATAATATCTTTAAGATTTATTAATATTGTAACATATCAGAATTTACTCCCTAAAAAGGTTGAATAATGTTCCATTTTCTATGTGTACATATATAAAATATTACATATTGTATGCAAATGTAATGTACGTTATATATTTTTTCCATTCATCTATCAGTGGATGCTTGGGTTGCTTCCACCTTTGGCTATGGGGATACATGATAGTTTCACAATGCATTCAAATTAGAATAATGTGCTAAGGAGACCATTTATCCTTAGTGGCAGTGCTATATCTAAAATCTATTCTCTTTACTAACTTAAAGCACAGACATATCCTCTGGGACTTAATAATTGAACTGTGCAACCAAAGGAAGCTTTATTTGAATGTTAATATTTTTCCTGATAATTGACTTCAACAGAAATACATTTATTAAGAGATATCTTGCCTTTAAACTTTTATTTTCCTTTAAGAACAAACTAATTTTTAATAATTTATAGAAAGTAAGGAGCTAACTACAGATGTCAGGCTTGTTAAAGACTTGAGAATGAAATGAGCAGGTTAGATTTGCAAAAGCAGTAAACACTTATGAAAAGTGCAAGCCTAACTTTTATACATTTAGGGTATGTTTATCCTACTTATTATCATTGAATCAGTGGTGACCTAATTACTGTGTACTTGAGGGGTTTAGTGTACAAGGATTGCAATATTGTCATTTCACAGTTTTGCAACAGCCAAACTTAGTTAAGTATTTCTATGTGATAGTAATTTTATAATTAAGAAAATGGGATGCTTTGGTGGATGAATTAGTGACAGTATGAATGATGTTTTCCTTATGTAGGATTAATTAATATTTTTACCTCTAAATCCCACCAGAGACTTAGTTTTTCCCTGAGGCATTTATGAATCTTTAATACATTATTACATTAATGCATTATTAATAATTATGATACATTATTAATACATATATATGTTATTGTCATCTGTAATGTGTATTCATCTTTAAGTCCAAAGTAAAGAAAAGTACAACCTTATACTTATCAAGTTGGGGAGGTAGGGATGGGAATTAGGTAAGCTGCAAGAGGTTGTTACGAGATTCACCAGATAAACTCATTTCTTTGAGAGAATAAAATTTCGGAAGCAGTCCTGTCTGTCTGGTTCTGTTTCATTTTTCTCTTGTCTCTGGCTGGATTCTAAATTGGCCTCAATAAGGGGATGACAGGAAATAAATTTCCTTCAAGCTAAAACATAAGATCTCCAACTTCTGAAAGAAAATTTTATACCATTGACTTGGTTTGTGGCAGATATTTTGCTAGTTTACCTTGACTAGTGAATCCTCAGGACTTGGTACTCTCCTTCTATTGTGTCAATTCAAACCACAGGTTATCAATAAGAAACTTTAAACATTTAGCCTGTAAGGAATTGGATGGGAAGGAATTTATTAATCTAAATTCTAAGTACTATTATAACTGAACAGTTCTAATTCTCGGATTGTTGCCCTTTATTTCTTAAAGAAAATATCCTGTGCTCTCATTATTTAAAGTTACCCTTGCTGTTTTAGTTCATGTCCACTCAAATCTAGGCAATAATGGATATGATTAGATGTGATTTTATCAATTAGTGGAAGTTTTCTTAGTTTAGTCTTTTCATTAGCTCCCTGAAAGACTGAGTTTCTAAAATGTCAAATAGAAAACAAGGTTTATTATTTATAATGCCTTCTCTTAAACTCATTAAGTAGTCTTTTAGTTTTTTTAAAGCATAATGGAACCCTTTTCAACCTTCTATGTATTCAACAAACTAGGCTTTTACTTACAACCAAAGATGTCTGCTTTTCCCTAGACTAAACCTTTTACCTAGTGACTTGGAAAATCCAAAGAATCAATACAAGCTTTTTTCAGTACAGGGTGCTGCACAAAAGCAACAAGTTATTACCCTTAAAGAGAGTTCCAAATGCAGTCTGTGGGGTGAAGGTTATGACCCCATGGAAAGCTAAACACTTCAAAGTCACTGCTCTCCATCCACTATAATCTGTCTAGAAAGATACAAATGATTTCCAGGTTTGAGCAAAATACTTGCCGAAATCATTGCCTTTGCCTTTAAACTGCCTGTCACCTACATTTAATAGGTACATTAAACCTACATTTTCAGATAATTTGTTTTTTAAATTATATTTTTTTAACATCCCTTCATGAGCTTATTTCATCAGTAGCATAAACTTAATTATGAGTCACACCAGGGGCTCTTTTTCTGAGTAGTTATCTCAGTTTGTACTGAAACAAAGATTGCTGGACCATGAGCATTCTGCTGATTTGAAGCTTTGCATTCTCATCTATTTTGGTCATGAGATTGTTTTATTATTTAGGATTTAAAAAAAAAGTTTCTGCTGGTGATAGTGCCATTTCATCTTATAGAGAAATAAAGATTTTTTTAAACCCCCAAGTATATAAAGATGGTGGCACTTCTGTTTTTTTCCTGCCCTCCACTCTATCCTTCATAGTCCTTTAGCTACCATTTATGTGATAGACAATCTTGTGTGTTTCTGTTGAAGTTATTTTCAGTGATTAAGATCATTATTGGATTTGCATCAGCAGTCTAGTTAATTGTTCTAAAGACCCCTTGATTATGGTTCTCTTAATTTTAAATCCTCCTTATTTTTATTTCTGGCTTTCCCCAGTTCTTTGTTTTGTATTATTTATGCCTCAAGTATCACCATGCTTTAGCAAAATTGCCAACATGTCTTTTTATCTCTTTATGGGGGCTGGATTTTTAAACATTTCATTCAAAAGAACCTATACAATATCTTTTATGGCACTCAATATGTCTGCTTTCCATGGATGCTTAGATAGATGCCCAGTGAGAATGATTAAATCAAGTTGACTTAATTGCCATTTATTTCTTTTCATGTGTTATTTTCTGGAATTTTTATATGATATAGTTCTGTGACATTATACTTTGCTTTGATCCTGTAAGATCAAATTTGTAGATATCTTTTCAAATCACATTTAGAAATTTTTTCCTTCTTTTTTTATCAAATATTTATTCTGTCCCAATCTCTTTCCCACTCTTCTAGAACTCTAGCTACATAATCTTAGACAGTTTGAGTTGTACCTCAACTGTTGTTCCTCTGTACCTCAGCGAGGAAGGTTTCTACTGCCCTGTCAAGTTCATTGATATTAATTTCCATAGTGTCCAATACTCTGTTATGCACGTTCAGTTTTTAACTCAAAAACTTTGTGATTCTTGTTCTGTGGAATGTTAACTACTTTCGTCACTGGTTGCTAATTCCAACATCTATGTCCTCTCTCTCTTTTTTCTATTTACTGGAGTTTTGTTTTCCTGCTTCTACCTGTATCTAACTTTGTCCATGTTAAGCACTGTGGAGATTATGATTCAAGTGTCTGGGTTTTGTTGCTTAGAAGCAAAACATAGTACTTGGTCCCAAATTCAAGGAGATGCCTACATTGACTTCTAAAATGACATCTCTACCCAGCTCCCTCATTTCGTGAATCTTCCCCACATATTTTAAACATTTCAATGGCCCTAAATTTGAATCTCTGTTTCCCTTCCCCAGTGGTCTTTCTTTTGGGGGACTGACCACCTCTGTGATGAGTTTGAAGGTTGCTACTAGGCAGAAAACCAAACCAAATGTGAACTCATATCATATTGTCTATCTTGTTTCAAGAATTACATATGGCTGTTGTGTGCTCTACAACATCTGAAAGCTTTATATGATTTTACTAGATTTATAATTTTTACCATAGAAAGGTAATTTGATATCTTACAGAGACAGAATTCTCTGAAGTTCATGTTTTAGCTTATTATTAAAAAAATTATAGAGTAAGCTGGTTTAACTTTTCATATGTTACTAAAGTTTAAGTAGCTTGACATGTTAACATAAGATTTTCTCATCAATTAAAATAATTTATTAAATTTTGTTTAGTCTTTCAATAAAGCTTAATAATTTTATAAATTCAATCTTATACTGCTTTTGTTGAATTTCTTCTAATATATATTCCACTTACTAGATTTTCTATTGCAAATAGCATCTTTTATGAATAGAAATAAATGTAACTGATAGGAATCAAAATTAATTTAAATTAATTTGTTATCAGTTATAAAACATTTTATACTGAACTTCATTACATTGCTGAATTCTTATCATAATTTTCACTAAAACATTTTTATTTACTAACAAATCATTTTCTGCTAATAACAGCTCTTTTCCCCCGTTTTCTTCTTTGCACCATTTTTATTTACTTATGACTTTCTACATCTTATTCAGTTGATTTATTTATTTCTTAGTGAATATGACCCAAAGTAGAAGACCAAGAGCTGAGTCTCTGATCTCATTGCATTTATATTTGTAATGAGGCAACCTTGGATTTTGACTTATAACTAAATATAGTGAAGGTTCTGGTTTAGTTCTGACTTTTATTTCTTTATTTCAATCTTATAGTGTTTCTTTACTTTCCCTGAGTACAGTAGTGAGATAATGTTTTCTTTGTCTTATATGTGAACATTTTAAAAGTAAATATCAATCTTCCAAAGCATCTGATCTACAATATTGGCAGAAGTAGGTCTATAATGCTGACAGGTCTCTGAAAATAATTTTGATGAAAAGAATACGTGCTGACAATTTTTTCTAATGATAATGATTTCTGTCTTAGGAACTGGTGTGCTTATGTACATACCAGGTTATCTCCCACAGTGATACTAGACAATCAAGTCACTTATGTTCCAAGTGGGAGAGGACCTTGTAGCTGGACCAATGGCTGCCCTCAGAGGTATGTAGTGTTTCTTGAAAATGGCCACTGTTTGCACCATGATCATTTATGGCTGGGAGTATATAAAGTTTTCATCTCGGGTACATTTCTGTAGTATGGTGAGGGGAGACACCTTACATTACTTTGGTAAAGGAAAATACAAATATTAGTAATACTTTGTGTCATGTGGGATTTTTTCAGAATCAGGTGCATTTTGAATGTTCAATAAATGTCAATTCTCATGCTAATACAGTCAGTGCTACTTTTATTCTATGACCTGATCAACAATCCTGTTGTTTAAATCCTTACGAAATCTATCCACCATTTTGAACATTTGTTGATTAGGTAAGAAAGAAGTCCAAACATAAGTTGGCTTATATTCTAAAATTTGAGAAACCGTTAATTATAATTATGTGTTATAATTATGTATGGCAAAGCAGCTAAGTGGGGCCTTTCTTTCTTCCTGTGTCTACTTTAAATGCCCATATTATTTTTAAAAATCTGTTTCGTTGTCCTAAGATGTAGTGTTGAACACTTGGTAAATTCTCTGAATTCATGGAATCACAGTAGCTCAACTGGACATGTTCCTGAAGGGTCTGCAATAAAAACTAAAATTGCTGTTCAAGCCAGGGTGGCTAATATTATGCAAATTGTCATACAAATAACTCAGGAAATGAATCTGACACATCAGCAATATGGAACAATACACAGTAAGAACACACAAAATCAAGGTGCTTCTTAGTCCCCTGAGGAATAGCTAAAGTTCATGGTCCAGAGAACTAAGTACCTCTCAGAGATTTGGGAGAGCCAAGCTCTAGTTCTGCTTTCAGAATTTACTCCCTTTGTGACAATTTCCCTGTCACCACAAGACAAAAAGAATGCATTATTAATTCTTTAGTTAATAATGAAAATATTACAAAAGTAACCCCTATCATATTTCTCTTTCAGTTCAAGGTGAGCTCTTCTTATTTTCTCATTAAACACACAGGAATTCTTTATCTGTATTCTCATCTTTTTTCTTTTTTATACTTTTGTATGGGTCTCTCCATTCATTCACTATTTCAGTACTTACATAATTTTGTCACTTTTTCTTGTATTATGTCTGAGATACTGAGTTTTACAAAGAGAGAACATTAACCCCCAACTAAGTGCTGGAGCTTACTGGCACAAATTCTAAAATCCTTCCTTATTTCCTATTTAACATTAGCAACTGAACTGAACATGATATTTCACTGGACATAGTGATTTACTAAATATAATTTATTGAAATAAGAATAGGTAAATTGTTTTGCATGCTTTTAAAAATGGGAAGAATCATATAGCTCATTTTACAGTTGAGGAAATCTGGGTCTCGTAAAACCCAGTCCTTATAATGAATTTCTTTTGTATATTCTGGGGTGACTCATGGATTGGTTATATGTGACAATTCTAGAGCTGTGAGACTAGCCCACACAACATGAGGTAAAATTCCAGGTGTATCACTTTTGGATATGGGACTCTGAGTAAGTTATTTCATCTCTGTGTTCTCCAGGTTCCTTATCACAAATCAAGGTAAAAATATCTTTATCAAAGAAGTCACATGAAGATTAAACAAGATAATACGTACCAGTGCCATAGACCTTTTTGATATATGTCATATACATGTTGAAGTCATATGGATGGCAATAGTATGGTCACAATGCATGTACGACATACAAATGCCTGTAATTTACCACCACTCACTGATTAACTTGGGTATTATGTTCAATATTACAATTTACTCAGTTCTCTTTCATGATTTTATCTCAGAAATAGTATTTTCTCACATTTTATTCTCTCTCTTCTCTCTTTGAAATACTGTATGACAAAAATGGTACATAGTATAATTTTAAAACTTGGAAGATGAGGTTGAAATGACAGTGGTTACCCTAATTCTAATTAGATCACTAATATTTATTTCAAGTTGTTTGACATTTGCCTGGAGGAAATGCAGATCTTTTAAATTATAACTCGGAGGTAAAAGGAATTGAAGTAGAATAAATTTTCCCACTATAACTTAAAAATTGGAGTTAAAATAAGTTCTAGCATGGGTTTACTTAAAAATTATGAAGGGAAAAGTTATAATAGATTCTTAAAATGGAGTAATAGGTATCAATTTAAAATAATAAATAGTATTATCACAAATGCTTTTTGTAGAATATTCAGAGAAATGTAGGTTTGGTAGTTTTGAATATAATATTTATAGTAAAAGATTACGATTATAATAATACCAGTTAACACTTAATAAATACTTCATATATTTCAAGCATTACTCCAAATACTTTACATTTTTAATGCTAACTGATAACGTGAGGCAAAAAAATCTGTATTCTCCCAATTGTTCTCTTTTCTAGATCACAGAAGGTATCCAATCCTGTCTATAGGATGCAACATAAAATTGTTACCTCATTGGAATGGAGGTGCTGTCCTGGATACAGTGGACCAAAATGTCAGCTGAAAGGTATGCTGCAATATTAAACTGAAAATAACAATTAGAAGCATAAAATTCTGAAGGATAAGCAACTGATTCCACTTCAGAGAAGACTTGAGTTTTTCCTTTTGAACCCAGACAAACTATTAAGACTGCTATTTTTAAAGTTTCCTAACTTATAGCTCTTATAACACTCCAAAATCACATACACAGTAAAATCCTTTAACTTCTCCCCCCATTTTTATGTTGATTATACATGATGAGTAGGTGAGATCTTACTATCTTGTTTGTTCTTAATGAAATGCCACAAAGACATGCCTTATTAAAATACCAGGAATGCTAATTTTATATTTTAAGCAATTTATTGTTAGAAGTCATCCTATGTAAAAATAAGAGTATCATCTAGCTTTGTTCCAGTCCAATTATCTGAAATGATTTGTATATGACTGAAATTCTGTGTTAAGAATATACCAAGTAAGCCATGAATAAGTCTTTTTTTTTTTTTAAATCCTAATGGAGACAATTTTTTCAAATGAAATTTTAAGGATTTTCTGGTGGTAAGGCTGATCAAAGACATGGAACCCCACTGCGGCCTAACATCCATGTGACAATTATTTCGCTTTTGACTTTAAACAGACTTCCTTTGAAAAGTAAGATAGGGCATCAGCATAGATATTTTAAATGAATGAACACTACAAGAAAGGCCGTTAGTAGTCATGGGGAATTTAATCAACAGTGTAAGAGACTCTGATTAAAAATTAATGTAAGTGTGGAGAAATCCTTATGCTTCACATTAGGAAAAAGCAAATCATAATACAAAGGTGCTAGGAATTCTGCAATTTGGTTAGGGATATTATACATGGTTTTGCTTGCCCAGGCAATAAGAATCTGCAGGCAGATTTCTATGCGATGATATTTGTTCTGGGTCTGACTTGAATTTCAGAGATGATATAAATATTTCAATGCATTTTTCAGACTATAGCATGGATATGTACTAATTTTGTGATCAGACAAAATAAACTTTTAAAGAAAATATGATCTATACCAAAAATATTTGGAAATAAGGAAATATCCCATATCCTAAAAAAAAATCCAAATATGACCTTGCTTTCAAAAGATTTCTGATTTCCACAAGATGCACAAATATATTAACAATGTTAAAACATATTTGTTTCTCATCCATATTTTACAAATTATTAAAAATTCTGGACAGTATTTAGAATTATATTTCTAAGCTCTGTATTTCTCTTATTATATGAAGGGTGTTTAAAAATATTAATTCCATTACTACTTCTTGAAGTCAATTATTTGTTTGACTTTTAGAAATTTAGGCTGTCATTACACTCCTTTTTGTACAGAGCAGCTGAATGTTAACATGTAATCGGGAACAAATATCTGTCATAGAATGTTCCGACCTTCTGCTGAAGAGGACTGCAATTGTTCCGTGCTTTAGCCTTTTATATGTGTTAACTGATTCTTATTCACTGTTGTGGAGTACATACATGTAGATGAAAAAAAGCCATAGAACTCCATCATCACAAATATACACACAAGAAACAAAGATGAGCTGATAGGTTTGAACATCTAGTATGTGAAGTATTATCAAGTATTTATATCGAATTTTCTATTACTAATGACACTTTGTATTCTAATTGGAAGCAACCTTTAATACTAGATTCACAAATTGTTGTCTTAATTCACATTGACAAAAATGTCCCAGAATAGCTCTGATGGTGACCTCCTGTCAAAGGTATACAATTAGAGTTACTCAAAATTCAGGTATCTACTTATTAAGCGGTTATGGAAAGATCTCTTGCATTGAAACCTATGATGGCAGTAATGCTTGTGATGGCCAGTATGTCCTGCTGTGTCACCTTGTCATGCAATCAATTCTAATACAGCTTTGATTCCACAAGAATGTCCGGTTGCTACACACAATACTCTGACCATTCATCTCTTACTTTTATTGTAGTCCATAAAGACTGCTGAATTTTTTATTAGTGCAATTGAAGCACTGGTAGTGCCAAGAACTTTTATGTTCCTTTGTCTCTGGACCATGCTTCATTATCTCTATCTTGTTTCTTTTTCTTATTTGCTCATTTTCTTTTCTAATACCAAATACAGGCTGCCTGCCCCTTCTCCCCCACACACCTTCTATCACACTTTAAATGTGCCACCTGTTCTTTACTTATACATTAGAGATAATCGTCCCCTGTAAGAAAAAGAAAAAAAAAACAGTGCTTGACAACGTTGCTCGGGCCACCTCCTATGACAGGCTTCTGCCTCACATTTGGTAAGAATAATCAGGTCAGCTGATCCATTCTTTAAACCTCTCCTAAGCCCTCAAGGGTTTGAAATAACCTGGCTATGTAGCTACCACGACAATTATTTCAGGGCTAGTCCCTCAAAGTGTCAGGAGATTGTTTTATTCATAGAAAATTGTAAAGTACTACACATACTTCACAAACCCCTGCTCCCCCAACAAATTTCTTCCCCTTAAATTTAATTTCACACTATAAAAATAACAATTTCTTTTTAATTTAGGTTGCAATAGGCTAATCTTTTAAATATACAGGAAACACCAACAAGTCATGAATAAAGTGGAATTGCTTCTCTTCTTTCCCTCAATATGCCACATCTTTCTTTTTCCTTCTCTTCATGCAGGTCAATCCTCAGTGTTATGAAGGAATTTGTTCATCAAAATTCATGTCACTTCTTTCAGGTGTCTTATTCCAGAATAGACCCACCGCACATGCCCATCAACTACAGCTCAGATGATAACAATGATAATAATAATAATAAAATAGGTAATTATTGTGGTAGATAACCTTACCAAGACATTAGTTATACTATCTAAAGAAAACCAATTTTTTTTTAACAATCTAAATGAATAGAACTTGGTTGGGAAAAAAAGGAGCATGAAGTACATCAAAGTAATAGTTTTAATATATTTTACATTTGTTATATCTTTCTGGGGATTACAGAGCTTTGCCTTCAGAAAGAGACCTAATTTTGTGATATGGTATTCAACACCATATCATGGTAACATGCCACTCTAAACCTGTTTTATAAAATTTGCAATTTTGTGCCTTTCCAGTAGATGTCTCTAAAATATTCCTAAATGGAACAAGGAAATTATGGCTTGCTCTAATGTCACAATTGAAAGGAATTTAAGTTCAAATCATGTTAAACTGGAGAGAATGATGATGGAAACTTTTTGCGATTCTGTTAAAAATACAGTCTGCTTTATACAAATTTTCTACGGAGGAAAAGGTATTTTATAAAATTATGTTTTACTGAAAAAATGTGAGTATACACAGATTTTGAAATAAACTGACCCCTTCTGTATGTTGTAAATATATGACAAATATTCTGTTTTATAAATGCCAAGAAGAAATTCAACAAATTATGAAATTATGACTGAAATTAACATTTTAACTATGGGACTTTTGCAGTAAGATTATTTTATGATACATTCCAAAAATATTAGTTGAAAATTACAGTGTTTAAAAGAGAAAAAAACCTATATTATTTTTTAATTTTACCAATCCAGTTCTTCCCAGTGGTATTCAATGTTTTCTGTTTTTCCATAGTCATCTTGCTCAATGAAATTATGATACATTTAGTTAAGGCACACTATTCCTTAAATCTTTGTTGCGCCAAGCTGTCACTTCAATTTAATTAGTAAATTTTTGTGTATATATACTGAACATTCATCATGCAAGTATTTACTTGATATTATAGGAAAATCTGGAAATCTGTTTTGTCAAGCCACATAGGAGGGCTTTCTGGCTCTAAGGGGGAGAGAGTCAGCATCCTCATTACTGAGTTGCCGTTAATGACTTCCTCCATATGGCTTAAAGGCCTGGAAGGAAAAAAAGGCTTGCAAATAAAACCTGTCTAATTAAAGAACAACAAAAAAGAAAAGCACTTAATAAGGAAGTTGTTGCTCTCACCATTGACACTTGCTGACCTTGTCTCTCTAGTTCTTGATCCACCAAGGTCAGAGTGTCCATAGTAGAGAAAGAAAATGAAACAAAGAATAGTTATGTTGGAAGATAAGACAAAGTGAGTCCAATTTAAAAAATAAATTTCATTTATCAAAAATCTAAAGTGCACAAAGATCTTTCAAAGTCCACTGAGTTAAACAAATCCTCTTTCTGCCTCTATCACTTAGAAAGCACCAAGAAAAAAGAGACCTACAAATCTGCACTGTACAGAACAAAGTAGGGGTCTGTATTTGACTGAAAGAGAAGATAGATTGCTTGGAAAACGTAGACTCTGTGGCAGTCCTTGTGATAGAGCATACTCTGAGAAGGAAGAAAGATTGATAAATGAAAAAGTAAAAGAACATCGATCCAGCAGGCTCTTTATCACAAGAGAGTAAATGACTCCACTGTCAGAGGTCCTATCAGCGCTTCTCAGCCCCTGGTTAAGTCCCAAGCAATAAATTGGGATGAATGCAAGTATTGAACTTCAGTTGACAAACCGAGCTAAGAAAAGATAACATGAACTACTGAATTTGTAAAACAAGCATTTCAAGTTTTTAACAGCCTTAGCAGGGAGTGACCCCATCCTATGAATTTCAGAGCAAAGAGGTTCATGTGACAACTGGATCCTAAGGATCTTTGCATGATGCTTAGTTAATAATTATTTCTTTTATTTGGAGTAATATATTGCTCACCTAGTTATACACAAAAAAACCCTCAACTACATTAGATTTTTTTCTATCGTTTAATGCTTCACAGCATTTTCCAATATTTTCTTTCAAATCAATCTTTTTAAAACTTCACAAAAATATTTAAAAATTTTATTTTTTTCTCACTATATATCATTTTGTATATAATCATATATACAAAATGATATATATATGTATATATATATATATAGTGAGAGAGAGAGAGAGAGAAGAATTATTGGTCAGAATAGAATATGGAAGGAAACTAATACTTTCACTTGATACCTTTGCGTGTTGTTTTTTATCCCTTTCAATTTTCTTTCTGACAACTTTATTTACACCTGCTACCCAC